AACACGCGTCAGCAAACATTGCGAGTAGTAAAACGCAACAACTTAACCGTATTAATATGTTGCCTGATGATTGCTTGTGGCATGAAACTTAAAGTAGCAACTTATTCAATTGAAAAATTGTATTAAAATATTAAATTATTATATATAGATATATATATATGACAAATTAAATATTATACAATATCATGCATTGCTTCAAGGAATTAGAAGGGATGTGTTTGTGAAATAATTAGGAATTGAGTATATCTTTTTTTAAATATTAATATTGAATTTGATTGTTTGATTTCAGGATTAATAGACTGCCAAATTTGGGATGAAATAAATTTAAATGTTTGTATTCCATAATTAGTTCGTGCTTTTGGTCTACTTAGATTGTGTCTACTAGCAAATCTGATATTATGAGAGTGTTGAGCGGATACAACCTCAATACTACTGGCAAATACGGTCGGGACATCGTTTGTTTCTGCTAGAATTTTGCAAACAAAAGTTGCTATTTTCAATTGAAAAACATTGTCTATACTTTAGTATACCTAAAAGATTATAATACGGAGTTACATTCTCTTTTTTCTTGCGAAAAATATGCTCCTTATGCATTTATTTTGACTGGAGCGCAATTTGGTTAATTTTGAAGTATAAGTCTTTCCCCAACTCATCAATCCATAATTGATATAAGGATAAATCAGTGAATAGTACAGTTGCTTAATTAAGTGTTTTCAAATCAACGTAATATTTAAGTTTATTTATGATTCCAATATTCTTAGCAAGTTTACTGTTGACATACTTAATCTGATAGTCCCAAGTAACATGGTTATCAATGTATAATAATAATAATAATAAATAGTTTAATAAAACGCCTTGCAGTTACAAAACTGAATTACACGCTAGAAGCTAGAGATAACAATGAGCTTTTAGAAATATTACAAATATAAAATTATCTATTAACAAGATTAAATAAAAAAGTTTAAAAAAAGAAAAACCTACATTGACTAAGAAACATCAATAATATTTGGAAAAGGAAAAGTCTTCAATGCTTTGTTTGGGATGCCATCAGGACCCTGTGATTTTGTTGTTTTAATACGCCGCAGCGCTGGATAAACTTGTCCAGGATTTACCGTAACATAATCTGGCACTTCAGTCTCTTCAATCTGATGACAGCGAGCCAAGGGTTCAAAGTAAGCAGTGAGACCAACTAAGAAGTCATAAGACTCAGAAAGGTCCACACAATTAGGGTTATCATCCGACAGCAGATGATGGTACCAAGACTGTTGAAATGATAAACCACCAAGGGATTTGATCTCTTTCCACCACCTTGCTGGGTTTGTATTCTTTAACATCTTGACCGACTGGTGGTAAAACCTTTTACGAGCAGTTTTAACTTCTTGCTGAACTTTATTTCGCCAATATTTATAAATATGTGAAAATTTCCCATACAAATGAAGGGCTCTCTGACGTCTCTTGATTAACGATTTTAACGATTGGGTTACCCATGCTTTATCTGATTTTCTTGTTCTCAACTGCCGCTTAGGGAAAAAACTTTCAATCATACCAGACATGATAACATTTAATTCATTATACTTTACATCGCAATCGGATATTTCAAAAACTGGCGACCAATCGAAATTGGTTATCCACTGTCCGAAAAACCTTATATTACTGTCCCGTAAATCACGTTTCCATACTCTGTCGTTAGAGGGATTGGTTACACGATGTAAATGACTCTTTACTATGATTGAGTTATGGTCACTCGAACCAACCGGTGGCAATTGAATTATCTGGAAATCAAGATGTTTCATTTTTATCAGCCACCAGTCCAAATTAGACTCTCCTCTCATCGCAACGTTACTAATTTGACGAAGACCAGATATCTGTTTAATTCTATTAGCATTGAAACCAATACTTACTGGATTAAAGTCACCACATATCATAACAAGTGCATCCGGGTGGTTCAGAAGGAAAAGATCCACATTGCCTTGAATATGATTATATAGCTCGCAGTTTTCCGTTGCGTCGCGTGAAGTACTATGATATATAACAGCGAGTAATAGAACTGGAATGGATCTTGGCAAACGATTAGATCTCACTGACATCCATAAAGATTCGATGGAAGAATTTTCGAAGTCGTAGATTCTTCTAACTTTTGTTTTTGAGTTAATGTAAGCACAGACTCCGCCTCCAACTGACGAGGTACGGTCATTTCGAATCATATTAAAATTTTGCAGGGAAACTTTAGAATCCGGGATTGTATCAGTAAGCCACGTTTCAGTGATACAAATAATGTCAATATCGTTAATATTTGCAATGACGCTTAATTCATCAACTTTCCCACTCAGAGATCGAACATTGGCGATTAAAACACTTGGTAAATAAACATTATAATCATTATTCACCGTCTGGGAGGTCTCGTGGGTGGGATCTCCGTTAAACGAGGGGGAGTGGGAGGGGAGGTGGAAAAGGATGTGGGGGAGGAGGGAGAGGGGGTTGAAAGGAATACGGGAGAGGGGGTTAGGGGGTGGAAAGGGATGTGGGCCAATATAGAAGTAAGGGTGATATACTGGGTTCATTACATTGGGAAAATCCGGTTCCATTGTAACAGTTTGGAATGGATTAGTTCTTTGGATATGAGAAAAAGGCCTCAAATTCTGAGTTGGATACAATGGGACGGGTCGTTGCACTATATCGTTATGAAGGAAATAGTATCTCCAATCTTTTAAGCAAAACCCCTTCCTACCCAAAAATGGGCACGGTACGAGATATTTAGGAGTTACGCTACTCAGCCGCCCATTGTTCGACGCAAAAGGTGGCCGATCATTTCATCGGGGTGGATAATTCTCTTGGACAGGCGGAGTTGACGAGATTAATTGATTATTGGTGACCTGAGAGTGATCATGATCAACTTCATGACACTTAGGTATTAATACAGAAGGGACAGAATTTCGATTGACTGATTTGGATGATAAATCAATAAATTGAGGCTGGATATTTTCCTTTTCACTAGCTTTAGTATCATCATTATCTAACCGTTGCGTTTGAATTACTTTCGAAAAGGTAGATTTAGCGGGTTTTTGCTGAATATCAGTATCTTGGTCATACTTAAAACAACAACAATCATTTAGGAGTTTTGCATTTTCATCTTGTTACACTTTAAGTCGTAGCTACCTATAGACACTTAATATAATCCTTTTGATCAAAGTTCCTTATCCTTATATTTCGAATCTTTTTCTTTTGAGAGGTTATTACCATAAAATTGATTCATAATATATTAACCGCACAATAATGAAAAATTCTTTCTAGTTCCTCATTCATCACACTTTCCACATCATCAATAGATTTTCCAGAATAAAATACATTGGTGTCATCAGCAAAAATTCGAAACGAAAGTTTTTTTAGCACAATTTGGCATATTATTTATGTAGATTAGAAATAAAACTGGCCAAAGTGTGGATCCTTGGGGTACACCACACGTGATGTTTAGTTTTTCATAATCTATATTTCCTATTTAACTATAGTTAAAATGTAGTTAAAGTTAACGATGCTTTAGGGTAACGTTTTTCCCAAAACGTAGTTAAAAATGGCGCTTGTATAGGAGGGAACAATATTTTTCAGTAAAACAATAATGAAAAGCAACGCCTACCTTGGAGTTTCAATGACTATCTTCCCTGACATGTTTTCTGGCAAAAAAAATATATATAAAGCACTGGAAGATTTCTTGAAGACGACGTGGGGTCCATATTACACGAAGAAACATGATATTAATATAATTGCATGCAAACAGTTACATTTTAGTTTTACGTAGACATCTCAAGTACAAACGAGCTTCTTCGTTGATTTTAAACTTGTTTTCTTGTTTATTTTTCACTATTTTGATTTTTGTATAATATTCCCGCCTATTTGCAAAATGTGAGTCCACAATCACGTCAGAAATGCTTGTAAGCGGTCGTTAATCACTCTTTACTTTATGTAATTTTACCGTTTAATTTAACCACGCCACGCAAGCCCCACGCAAGTTAACTACGTGATTAGTTAATCATCCGACAAACTATGTTTTGTGCAACGCAATTAAGTCGTGTAGTTAACATAATCATAGAATTTAACTACTGTATGTACAGTGAATATCGCTAATCATAGCTAAAGCTAACGACGTTTTTATGCAACCGGCCCCTGATCTGTATTTGTTTACAAGGATAGCGAACCAGAAGAGTGTTAAAAATTCCAGCATGAGCTCCACCTTTGAATTTACTATATGAGTAAATTCTTAAACACATCCGAATTAATCATTATGATAAATTCGCGGCATATTTTGAATTTATCATCATGATAAATTCGCGGCACCTAACCCTAACACTAATCTCAACCCCTAACCCTAATCTAATTTTTTTTTAACTTTTTTGAAAATCTAACTTTTTAAACTGTTTTTTAACTTCTTAAAACTTGCTGAAAACTTTTTAAACTCTTTTTTTGAAAATCTCCCCACCCCGTCGCAAATTTACTGTACGTACTCGTTTCCATATGTAGAGCTAATTCAATTAAGGTTGTCCTTACAAAAACTTGAACATTAAACTCTGAGCGCGCAAGGAATGATGGGTTATTGCTTATTTCGAAACCTAAATTTTGAAATTTGGCTTTGCAAGAATACCTAAGACATATAGAAGACTTACGACAAAAAAATACTTGCTGCAAAGGCAATTCTCTGAGTTTAAGGGCCTAATAGGTGAAAATCCATCATCCTTTGTGCGCTCATAATTTAAGGTTTAAGGTTTTGGAAGGACAACCTTAATTAAATCGCTGTGTATAGAAGAGAAACGCTATACATTCACAAATCCTTTTACTTAATTTTAAATTAAACATTTTACATTATTTCTTAGTATAATTTAAACGCCTTGTTGCCTGAACCTGCCCAACGTCACCATAATCTCAGAAAGACTCGCAAATTTGCCACCTTTTATATATCGTACTAAAAGGTTACGAGATAGTTTCATGCCATACTGTGTGCGGAAAGTAGTACGCATAATGTAGCTCAGTTCTCTCGAATATCAATATTAATACTAGTTAATATGCACTGTGCATTTCAACCTTTTGACTTTCTAACTTTTATTAACTTATTTCATATACATGTTGTTTTATAATTATATTTAAATAGAAAATTAATGCGAGCTTGCGTTTTACAATTTACAGTGTGCAGGCCTATATACTTATTTTTTAACTTTACAATCATACAAAATTACAAAAATATAACAATGATTGAAGGTGTGATCAACAGGACATGAGTCCCATGTCAAGACCAACCTGTATATTGCCATTCAAGATTTTAATGAAATTAATAAATACAATGCAATGTAATTCAGCATACGAGTATATGATACTTCTATATAGGCGTTCTAAATTGTTTTGTGTTGTGTATCCTTTGCATGTGGGTATTATTAAGTTAATTGATTTCGTATAGAACTTCACAGGGCATCAAGGCGGACCATACCGTGAAATAATGTGTAACATGTTTGCAAGATAATCTATTCCCTAAATAATCTATATACAGCTTGTGTAGGGTATGTGGTGTGGGACAGTTCTTGTGTATCTAAAGTCAAGTTGCAGGGTAAAAATGTCTGTTCGTCTGTTCGGAATGAGCTAGATGTTATACAATCTACAAAGACGTGCGCGTTTCACATACCGGATCGGACAAAAATTTCACCATGCTGTTAGGATGGTAATTACATAATAAGTTATATTTAGACTGAAACAGTATGGCGGTCGTTTCGCGGTATGGATTGTTATTATAAAAATGTAGTGAGGATTGATTGCCTAGAGTAGACCAAATATCCTTCGACCCAGTCATGCACTCATGCATGCGCATGGACCGACAAAGAAAATTCAGAAAACACCTATTAGTCTAGGACCTGTATATGAGTTTGTATGCGATTTATTTAGGACAGGTAATCTCAACTGTTTTAGGGTAAAATGACCATGGCGGTCAACATGGCATATGTGCGAAAACCTGAATCCGGGGCGAAAGTCCTGAAAATGAC